GAGGACTCCCAAGTTGCGGGCCCTCTCTGAGGGGGCCAAAGTTTCGCCCCCTATAGTCAGCGATGGGGTCAGCTGACTATGCCGAGGCGCCGGCAGCCACAGCCACTCAGTCTTGGAAGGGTTGAGCCTGAGTCTGTTCCTCCCCATCCAGACCCGTACGGCCTCCAGGCAACGGGTCATCACGTCAAGGGCATCGTTGAGGTGGCCTGGGGTGGAAATGTACAGCTGCGTATCATCAGCGTATCATCAGAAGGTGGAGGAGAACCAGTGGGACCATCCATCAGAGGGAACCACATCGGAGGCCCGAGTAGAGAAAGGGACAAGATGCAGAATGGATGTTTTGGATAAGGGAGACCTTCTGCAGCACTCTTTGGTTAAGAGAAGAGGAAGAAAGAGATAAGGGATCAACACAGATTCGTGCTGTCTTAAGTACTTCAAAAAGATCCAGGTCTTCCATTCAAGTGTGACTAAGATGCCGGGGGGAAATCTGAAAGATGAACAAGTTATTCCCCAGGGATCTGTTACTTCTGCTCAGCAAACTGGACTGAAACTTGGTATCGTCAGACAAAAGAAACATGGGGGGGGGAGAGAGAAAATGAATCAAAAAAGGGTCACCTGCACATGATTTTAGTCCTTGCTTCGGCTTTAAAATAGATCCTTAATTTGGTAGAGGAGAATATCTGTAGCTCAAGAGTTGAAGGGAGGGGTCCCTGGTGCTCTCCCGAGCTTGGTGGTTTCCTGGCAGAGCTTTCATTGATGATGGTTACTGAATGTCCTGATGATGGTTACCTAATTTGGTCATGAAACGTCTGCCAGAAGAGCACCCAGCTCAGAGAGCACCAAGGACTCCAGAACTTCAACTTTTCTCTATTCTCTTCAGTTTCTGCCTTGTCTGAGTTGGTGGTTCTTCCTGCCAAGTTCTTTTCACTCTATCGAGGAATTACCAAGAGAGAAAACCCTACTTCGTTCTAGCACTGATGATGTTACCTAGTTGGGTCATGAAATGTCTGCAAGAAAACAGCCAAGCTCAGAGAGCATCAAGGACCCAACAGTCCTCCTCCTCTTCCTCTGCTTCCTGCTCCTCCTCCCCTTCCTCCCCCTCCTCCTCCTCCTCCCCCATTCCTTTCTAGCACTGATAATGTTACCTAGTTGGGTCATGAAACGTCTGCAAGAAAACCACCCAGCTCAGAGAGCACCAAGGACCCCACAGTCTCCTCCTCTTCCTCTTCCTGCTCCTCTTCCTCCTCCTCTCTCCCCTCCCCTTCCTCCTCCTCCTCCTCCCCCATTCCTTTCTAGCACTGATGATGTTACCTAGTGGGGTCATGAAACGTCTGCAAGGAAACCACCAAGCTCAGAGAGCACCCAGGACCACTCAGATCCTTCATCTATTCGATAAATGTGCATTTCCACCATTTTCATGATCTCCTGTTCCCCAAACCTTTCTTATCTTGCAGACTGACCCTGTTATTTTTTTTTTCTTCTTCTTCCTTGGCAGAAACGAGTGGTCCAGGGCAAAGAGCCTCCTCACCTCATGAGCATCTTTGGTGGGAAACCGCTGATCATATTCCAAGGAGGCACCTCCAGGGAAGGTGGTCAGACCAGCCCGGCACCAACACGGTTCTTCCAAGTCCGTTCCAGCACATCTGGCGCAACCCGGGCCATTGAGGTACCTGACTTAAAATATGGAATTTGGGGACAGGAAAGTCTAGTGACCAATCAAACTGAGCCGAGATGGCACCCATCTTGCGTCTGAGTCTTGGTAGGGGTTAATCCCAGGATATGTGTCAGACCTGCCATGACTTAAACCTCTAAATAGAAGCTCCATGGGTTGAGAAAGGTAAAGTTTATTAGAGATCAAATGTATTGCAGTGGTGCAAAGCCAGGACTGAGAATCGCATGGCCAAATCCCTAAGTTCTACTTTTCCCTCCCTTAACTATATCTCATTGCCCACCCCGGTATCACGATTCAGGTTCACGCAGAATGTTTTCATAACAGTCACTCCAAGTGTAGTTTGATAGGTAACTGCTTCCTTCTTCCAGCTGGGTGACCTTGAGGCAGCGTCTCAAGGACATACAGCAGTTACTTCCGCTTCCCCAAGCATTCTCCCCTTCATTCCACCTTCCCACAGTTTATGGCAGTCTGTCGCCACATAGCTGCGAAGCACAAGCAAGCATCCGTGGCAGCTTGACACAATGTCCTCTTCGTATTTTTACAGATCAGCCCGGCTGCTAAAGAACTGAATTCCAACGACGTCTTTGTCTTGAAGACCCCAACTACTGCTTATGTCTGGGTGGGCCAGGGAGCCAGCAACACCGAAAAATCAGGAGCTCAGGAGCTGTTGAAAGTTTTGGGAGCGCAGGCAACTCAGGTTGCGGAAGGCCGAGAGCCAGGTTCGAAATGCATGTCTGAAATTAAAAGTCGGGTTTATGCCTCAGGATAAAGAGAAGGTGGTTTCTTCAGTTGTGGTTCAGCATAATGTGTGAATCCACTTCCAGTGGGCTGGGGGACAGGGGGGAGGGACAAACCAGGTCCATGGGGCTCGTTCAACAAACTACAGCTTAAAACATGATGCTGGCAAAAGGTCATCGTTTTTACGTTGTGCTATGTTGAGTTGGATCCAGTGGCTCTTGAGGAACCCCAACATTTTCTGTCTACTTTAAGACCCCTTTAAGACCACGTTAAAAGCTGGCCTGTTTCCTACTGTGTGTCCCAAAGGTGCTTTTTGAAGAGGCCACTGGGACTTCCTTTGTTTTTCCTTGAAGACGCTTCGCTTCTCATCCAAGAGAATTGGAGAAGCTCCTTGGAGGAGAAGTGACATGTCTTCAAAGAAGAAAGTCCAGCTGCCTCTTCAGAAACATCTTTGGGACAACCATGACCTGGATGACTGAGACTCTCCCTAGACGTTTTGCTACTGCATGATGTTTTCATTGCCTACAAGTCTCCAATTCCACCTGTCTCCACCTTGGTTGACGCTGATCTTTTACCCCAAGTCCACCTTTCTCTTGAGTTGTCCTCAACACCATGAGAGGAAGCACTGACCAGGAAGCTTCACTCAAGGCTCCGGGTCTGTTTTGCAGAAAGCTTCTGGGACGCTCTTGGCGGAAGGGCTGCGTACCGCACCTCCCCACGGCTGAAGGATAAAAAGATGGACGCTCACCCCCCTCGCCTCTTTGCCTGCTCCAACAAGAGTGGACGCTTCACCGTGAGTAGCTCAAGCCTAACTTGGTTGGCAGGTTAGCACCCATCCTTAACAACCAGTTAACAACATAGCTTAACACCCATGGGGCTAACTCAGGGGTCTTCAAACTTGGACCTTTTATGACTTGTGGACTTCCAACTCCCAGAATTCCTTAGCCAGGCACGCTGGTTAAGGAATTCTGGGAGTTGAAGTCCACCAGTCATGAAGGGGCCATAGTTTCCCCATGATGGCTCAGGAATTCTGGGAGTTGAAGTCTGCAAGTCATAAAAGAGCCAAGTTTGAAGATCCCCGGGCTAACTCAACAATCCCAGTGATTCCCGTAAAAACTGTAGCAAGAAAGGTTGTAAAAACTCATTTAACAACTATCTCGCTTAGCAATAAAAAAATTTTTGGCTCAATGGTGGTCGTAAAACAAGGAATATCAGTACTAGCTCCAAATTTTTTTAAAAAATAAGTCTTTAAATAATGGCGGCCCCTTTCTCAGAAGCATTTGGTCATTAAAGAAGACGACATGTTGGAATGGGACAGAGGCTACTCTGGTGTTATTTGGACATAACCAAAAGAGAATTTGTGTCCTCTGGAGTTAGGTGGCCAATAGATTTAAAATAATCAATAAATAATGGTGACAATAATAACAATAATAATTGATAGTTAATCATCAATATAAATCAGTGAAAACTCTTGAGAATTCAGAGATGGACCTGATTTTCAACCATCTGGTTCATGTCAGAGAACTTAATCGCATTAACCTTATTGTTTTAAAGACATTTTCCATTTCAAACTTCTCAGATTGAAGAAGTACCCGGAGAGTTGACTCAAGATGACTTGGCAACAGATGACGTAATGCTTTTAGACACCTGGGACCAGGTAAGTGCCCCACTCATTAACAAATGGAATTATCTCTGCTCTGTACCGTAAAAAAAGCACCTGTATCACATCGATTTGGCTTTTTCTTCAAAGGTCTTTGTGTGGGTTGGGAAAGATGCCCACGAAGAGGAGAAGACAGAATCCCAAACATCAGGTGAGTTGATCACTCCTCAATCTTTCACATCATCCAACTCTTCGTTGGCAGCTCAGCATCTCAGCATTCTCCAAGCTGGTGGGTTGGTTTCGTTACCAGGCTAGGCAACATCTTCAGTGGAGTTCAGAAGATGTCAATGTTGGTGTTCTTCTAAGGGCTTCAGGTGTGCGGGTGTCAAGTGAGGGTCTTGTGATGGGTCAGGTGTGATGGGGATCTTGTGATGGTCAGGTCAGGTCATTGGGAGATGACCTGCTGGTGAGAAGAGGGGGCTTGCGTGGGTTGGTTAAGGGTCAGTGCTGTCTCTGGTTGGCTGTGCAGTTGATTTAGATTCTGAGGGCTCCGTAGGCTAGTTGTAGGTTGATGTGTCTGTTGAGGGAATGGCTGGTGAAGTGCCGGTTTATCGCCCAATGACCCTGACTTGATGTAACTTCCCCATCACAAGACCCATCACTGGTGACTCACACCTGGCCCATTACAAGACCCTCACTTCACACTAGTGGTGGAATTCAAATACCTAAACAACTGGTTCTCTTATACGATGCAGGCCTGGGCCTCCGAGGCCTAGAACGGACTTCTGGAAGTGGCATCCACACACTTCCGGTGGGCCGTTCTAGGTCTGAGAGGCCTCCTCCAGGCCTCAGAGGCCTAGAACGGACTTCCGGAAGTGGCATCCATGTACTTCCGGTGGGCCATTCTAGGTCTGGGAGGCCTCCTCCAGGCCTCAGAGGCCTAGAACGGACTTCCGGAAGTAGCATCCATGTACTTCCGGTGGGCCATTCTAGGTCTGGGAGGCCTCCTCCAGGCCTCTGAGGCCTAGACTGGACATCTGGAAGCCAGCCAGTTCTCCGAATGCAGCAAAATGTAGCTACCCGAGCTGGAGATATTCGCCACTCTTCCAGTACTCATGGTTTCTGGTGCTGCTTTTCTCCCGGTTGCATCTTTTACAGCACGGAGATACATTGAGACCGACCCTGCCAACCGCGACCGGCGGACACCCATCACCCTCATCCGACAAGGATTCGAACCGCCTACCTTCACCGGCTGGTTCCTGGGCTGGGAGGATGATTATTGGAACGTGGATCCCCTGGAGAGGGCTTTGGCAGAGCTGGCTGTGTGACGAGAGAAATCTCTCCTTTTTTAATATTATTATTATTATTACTGGGAAGGAGAAAAAGTGTGCGGCTTTCAAAGGTCTCCTTCCATCTCCTACAGGCACTTTTTTTTAAAATAATAATAATAATTAAAATTAACAAATAGCTCCAGAGGCTGATCAGTAGCTGAGACAAGTCCACGAACTGTATGGTTTTGACCCCTTGCTGCTGCTTTGAAGAAGAAAAAAAGGGCCTTTAATAAAGCTTGTATAGAATCAGTAAAAAGGCTTTCCAGTTTTTGGGGTGCTTTGGAAGAGAAGGCACCGTTCGTATGTTTTAGCCTCCAGCCCCCTAATCATACGAAAAATGGTTATAGGAATTGGGTACGTCTGGTCTAATGAAGAGAAGCAGCGTTCCAATATTTGAGGGGCTCCTACAAAGACGAGGGGAGGGGATCAAACTCTTTTCCAAAGCACCAAAAGGCAGGACGAGAAACAACGGATGGAAACTGAGCGAGAAGGGAAGCAATCTAGAACCAAGGAGGCATTTCCTAATCATGAGAACAGTCAAGCAATGGAATGGTTTGCCTTCAAAAATTGTGGGTGCCCCATCGCCCACAATGTTTTCAGAAAAGAGACTGGACCATCATTTGTCTGAAATGGTCTAGGTTCTCCTGCTCAAGCAAGGGATTGGGCTAGACTAGAAGACCTCGCAAGGTCCCTTCCTACACTATTATTCTATGTTCTAAGTATTGGGGTTCACATCTTGGTCTCCAAAAGGCCTTCCCCCTTCCCATTTCAGGCTAAGAGACACGGATGTTGGCCAAAACCGAACATAAAATCATAGGCTTGGAAGGGACCTTGGAGGTCTTCTAGCCCAACCCCCTGCTCAAGCAGGAGAGTCTATACTCTATACCATTCTGGACAAATCCAGTCTCTTCTTGAAAACCTCCAGTGATGGAGCACCCACAACTTCTGGAGGTACTTCAATCAGAGTGCCCTTCAAGGAAGTTGTGCAATTATTGCCCTTCCGGTTGTACGAACCCATGCCAGTCTATTCACCAAACCACGAAGAAACCATGGTTCTTTTTGCTAACAAGTTCCCTTCCAGGAGCCACCTCAAGCATCCATAAGCTCTGAACTCACCACCGCAGGGGACCAGGTGGCAAGGTGATCCCTGTCTTTAAATTTTATTGGTGTTGTGGGGAAGGGAGAACAATAGAAACAACATCAAACCTTAAAAAACAAACAAACAAATACATGTATCCCTGTATCTTCCTTGGGTTCTGAAGGACCCCGGCTTCATGCCAAATCAGCCCGCGTTCTGGAGAAGCAGCTTCTGTTGATGGCTTCCTTCTCAATACTTTTCCGCTTAGCTTGGTTAACTAAAGATAATAGTGGAGGTGTGTGGGCTAGGACGAGCACTGTCTGCCTTCAAGCAACGGAGTTGGATGGAGACAGGAGAATCTTGAAGGAAGATGGAAACTTCTTTCAGGGGCTGTGGCGTCACACTCCTTGGGGAGACAATCTAGAAGGAAGGAGACCACTGTGAGAATTGGTCGCAGAGCGATTTTTCCATCACCTGTCCTGGTTCCGACAGATGAAACTCTTCAAAGAACTTCGAGGCATTGTTTATTCGAGTAACATAGCTTCGGCAGGTACATAGGTGAAGCCAAAAATCTGAATTCCCCTCCCCTGAACACATAGTATCTAGTGGCAATTCCCTCCTCTAATTAACAGTCATAAATCGCATTCTCCAATTAGTTTGAAATGTAGGCTTTCCCTCCAGTTCTCCAACCCGCCATTTCTTATCACCTCTTATTTCAAAAAAACCTTGATTTTCAACTACTGCAATATTGTTGTGTCTAACTAACTCCCATACACATTCCTCCTCCTCTCCCCATTATCATCTAATTCTAACTCTAAGAGTAAAACAAAGTAAAGGGAAATGGCTGCATCTCCATATGTTGTCAAAGCAAGAACATCCGATGTTAGCAGCGTTGACATCACCGTGGTAACTAGAATGGTTTCTAAATGAGGACACACACCCCTCTCTACTTAGCTAAGTTACAACTGACTAAATCTGCCTGGCGTATTGAGATAGAAATCTGTAACAGTTGTTAGGTGTGGAGGACAGAAACCAAACCAAGGGCATTGTAGGTTAAGAGCGAAGAATAAACCCAATATCTTCACACTGACCCTCTTACATTTACTTGTGTCTTCACATTCTTGATCTCCACGTGCTCCACCTTGACTCCCCAATCACGTGTGATGTTGTCTAGCAAGGCCTGGTGAAAAAAAGTACAGAGATGTGGATTATAGGTGACAACATAGCAGTCTTCCAATATTTGAGGTGCTGCCACAAAGAAGAAGAGGGAGTCAAGCTCTTCTCCAAAGCGCCTGAAGGCAGGACAAGAAGCAATGGATGGAAACTCATCAAGGACAGAAGCAACCTAGAACTAAGGAGGAACTTCCTAACAGTGAGAATAATTCCTCAGTGGAACGGCTTTTCTCCAGAGGTTGTGGGTGCTCCCAACACTGGAGGTTTTTAAGAAGAGATTGGACAAACATTTGTCTGAAATGGTATAGGTTCTCCTCCGAAGTAACTCCACGTGTTGTTCCGTGTGCTTTGGCCCTGGCGGGTGTACCTGGATCTCTTTGGCAATTTTTTCTCGGTCGGAGATGAGGTGGGAGAGGGTTTGGGCCCCCAGCGTGTTCTTCATGATGGCTTTGGCTAGGAGGTTGGTGGCAGCATCCGCATCGGAGACTTTGGTTACGGCAAGGAAGGCATCTTGTACGTGGTAATAAATCACCCCATCGACGTCAATAATCAGGGGGTCCTTAGTAAAAATCTGCAAGGAGAGACGGGAATGGAGGAGGATCACCTTTATTTAATCATCTCGCCATCATCTTAATTACTCACCATATCATTGCTCGGAGATGGATTTGTAAGCGTAGGCGGTCCTCACCTGACTACCGTTCATTTAGTGACGGTTCGAAGTTACAACAGCGCTGAGAAAAAGGGACTTAGGACCGTTCTTCACATTGAACAACCGTTGCAGCATCCCCGGATCGAAATTCTGAGGCTCGGCAACTGACTCACGTTTATGACGGTCGCGGCGTCCCGGGGGAGTCACGTGATCCCCTTCTGCGATCCACTTAACCACCGTGTTAATAACAACCGCAGTGTTTCACTTAACCACCGTTGTAAAACGGGCCGAACTCACTGAACAAATTTCTCACTTAACAACACAAATTCCGACCTCTGTTTTTGTCGCAAGTCAAGGGCTACATGTGATTTGATTTGGGGGAGAAA